CTAGGAGAGTGGTTAGGCCCTGGAACGGGCTGCCCAGGGAGGTTGTGGATGCCCCGTCCTTGGACGTGTTTAAGGCCAGGTTGGACGGGGTCCTGGGCAACCTGATCTGAATGTGTATGTTTGGTGGACCTGCTAGGCAGGGGGGTTGGAACTACATGATCCTTGGGGTCCCTTCCAACCCGGGTGATTCTGTGATTCTGTGAAAAATTAGTGACTCGCAGTGGCCCTGAGGGGCTCCTAACAGTCAGAACAGTAAGGAAAGTGCTGCCCTGTCTCTCCTTGGGAACAGGCTGCATGCACGTTAAGAAACCAACACGTTTTTGAGTTAACCAGAAAAGTGCTCTGAAATTGTTCTCATTGTCTCACTTAAAACTACAGGCCTTTTTTTTCCCATCCAGAGCCTGCGTTGTGGAACCACTGGGGTGGTGACTTTCATCCGAGGGAATATGTTGCATGTGGCTTGGCTTGGGGACTCCCAGGTTATGCTTGTGAGGAGAGGCCAAGCTGTGGAACTGATGAAACCCCACAAACCAGACCGAGAGGTGAGAACGGCCTGTTTTAAATCCACCTGGGCAGTGTTTATCATGGAAGCTGGCAGATGTCATTGTGATAGGGGCTTTTTGGACACTGAGTGTCATTTTCTCAATGCCTCTCAGAGAGGCAGACCGTGTTGCAGTTTATCTGATTTGATTGGAAGTTGTTATGAATTTGTGTGCAAACTCTTTGTTCACATCTGAAGGGCCTTGCAGCCCTCGCCCTGCTGTGTTTGTGAAAACACCAGGTACTCGTGGAAGCATTCAGAGGGAAAGCACTAAGAGCTCTATTCAACCAACTCCTGTGCTGTCTTGCTGTTTAGGATGAGAAGAAACGCATCGAGGCGCTTGGTGGCTGTGTGGTCTGGTTTGGAGCCTGGAGGGTGAATGGGAGCCTGTCAGTCTCCAGAGCTATTGGTAAGAATGGGCTTTAATTCCATTTTCTGCCTTGCTTTTGCTTTTCATCAAAATTTTTTTCTAGTAATCCAAACATGAAATGCAGCTGAAGACAGAACCGTGTGCACCGAACCTCTATTTTTGCCTCTAGTTTGAGGGGCTGTTCAAAATAGTTTCTAACCTGAGGAAGAGAGAGCCATTCACTCCATGCTGTGTTAATAAAAGGCTTCCAGATGCTGCAGCTGCAAACCCACGGTCTTGTGTACGTGTTGTTTTTCCACAGGGGACGCTGAGCACAAGCCATACATCTGTGGGGACGCAGACTCTGCCTCCACTGTTCTGGATGGCTCTGAAGACTACCTCATTTTAGCCTGCGATGGTTTCTATGACACGGTCAATCCCGATGAGGCAGTCAAAGTGGTGGCTGACCATCTAAAGGAAAATAATGGTGACAGCAGCATGGTAGCACATAAATTAGTGGCATCTGCTCGGGATGCCGGTTCCAGCGACAACATTACTGTCATTGTGGTATTTCTCAGGGACATGAATGCAGCAGTCAGCGTTAGTGAGGAGTCGGACTGGACAGAGAACTCTTTTCAAGGTGGGCAAGAAGACAATGGGGAGGATAAGGAAAACCATGGAGAATGCAAGCGACCGTGGCCCCAGCACCAGTGCTCAGCACCTGCTGACCTAGGCTATGAAGGACGAGTGGATTCCTTCACTGATAGAACTAGCTTAAGCATAGGGTCCGGCATTAACCCATTCGATGATCAAGGCTATTTAGACCTGACAAAAACAGAAACTAGTACGCCTAATAGTGCCAAATACCTGCCACCAATTGAAGTGTTTAGTCCTGGTATACCAAAGAATGCAAGTTTGATTAATGGCTTGACAGTGAAGAACGAATCACCAGAGAGCACATCATCAATGTTTGGACAGAGCGACCCCAGGGAGTACAGCGCTCCTCTTGGTTTGCGTGCTGCAGAGCGGAGCATCTACAGGGTGAAGGGTTTAACCCCCATCTCCTTTGGGCTGGAAGACGAACTGTTCAAGTCCTTGGGAAAACGAGTTGCATTCTTTCATTTCCGATTCTGTTCCGGGAAGAGGCGACGAGGAGCCAGGCTCAAACCAAAGTTTCACACGCCGCTCTTGGCTCGCGAGCCTTCCCACACTGAGGGGTCGGCTCTGCCCTCGCCTGTCCGAAGCCGTGGTAGCACGAGGCTGTTGGTCAGACGCTCCCCGTGGTGGAGGCTGCCCAGTGCTACCGCTTACAGTGAGGGCATGTTTTTGACGCGAAGACAAAGTCATTGTATACCAGACGCGTACCTTCATCAATGCTGTAAGATGTAACTGTCTCCCTTGTGTTTCCCCTTCAGACTCCCAAAATAGACATTCCCAAAATAAAACCGGCATCATCAGGAAGCGAAAAAAGGTGGGCATTTCAGAAACGTGCTACAGTCTCCTGCAAAGCTCAAACCACGTGTAAATAGATCTAGGAATTAACAAATGTAGTTGTTTCAATTTCCACAAGGTTTGCTGGTGGTGCCGCCCGAGCAGCGCCACAGCCACCCGCACACACAGCATTAGTCACGCTCACCAGTGAAAGCTGAATAGCTGGGTCCTGGGAACAGACACTGGGAGGGAACAGTCCTTGGAACTGCAGGAAGGTGAACCCACCTGAGATGCATCTATGGAGCAATATGTCAAGAAAGGTTCTGCTTTAGAACTGCTGATATTTTTTTTTTTAGAGTGGGGAGGAAGTTTCCATAGAAGTCCAGGTTGCGTGGGTTATTTTGTGTTCTGCTGTTCTGCTTTCTGTTTATTTCAGGCTATCATTAAGATGAATCAGAAAATTACATCCACTTTTGCAGGTAAAAGACTAAAAGCCATACAGGGTTTTACCAGGTACCTTAGGAATGGACAAACTAAGCTCCTGCTACTCTGTTCTCAGACTCCCATTGAGGTACAGACTCATAATTTACCTATTTTTTTTCTTGTAAGATAAAATGTGGAATATGAAGAAAACTGTTTTTGTAGTTTTTAAAACAAATATTTCCTATGGCTAGAGGCGCAGCATAGGGAATGTCGTATATTTCTGGTGCTTTTAGTGGCATTTTTCTTCTTTGTCAGTTAAGGAAACTGTTCTCAGTTGGTTTTAATCAAATATGATTGTGCTTCATGCTTTGAGCCAACCTCTCTCCACCGTAACTTCATCTCAGGTCTTAAAAGAAACCACATCTGTGGAGATGTTCTGTACAGCACTGCTGTCGCTCCACAAGGCAAATCAGAGAGCTGCTTGCTAGGAGTAACGAGCAATTCAGGAGCTGTTTGGCCGCAGCAATGACTTCTAGATGGCAGTGGCATAATTGAACATCGGGTTGCAGCATGAAGGACAGTCAGATGCTGCACCTGCCAGGAGCATCAGTGCTGCAATTTGATGCTTTCCGCAGTGTGTCAGAAGGGCTGCTGGAGCGATCCAAAGCAAATGGAAATGCCATGGATGCCTATGAGCAGGGGATGTGCTCGGGGGTTAGTGCAGGAGTGGGATTCTCTGACAATCCACAGCTCTGCTTTGGTCCACCCTGAATTCAGAAAGACAAGTGAGGAATGGCAGTAAACCTTATACTGAGTAACAGAGGGCTGCTGATCAAACTTGGGATCAAACAGTGCCCACCAGCTCTGCCCTGCTCTCGAGGTGATGTTAAACCCTCAAGGGAGCACTGAATGAGGACGTAAGTGAGCAGGCTATTCCCATCAGCTCCACTGAATAGGCATCCTGTTACTATTACTTGTTACAGTAAGGAGGAGTATGAATAAATAAGTCTTTGTGAGCATTTATTGTACAATTCATATCATTTTAGCCGTAATAATTTAATAACAGTATTAGTATTTAGCTAGCATTTGCAAAGTATTTTAATATTAAGTAGTCAGGAGATTATCCAACACAAAGAGATGGCAAGGTTTGAATTCCGCCAATTTCTGCTTCTTCTGTCTTTGATGCACTATTTTAAAAGCAATTTTATGAATAGCAAAAGGCTTTGTGAGTAACCAGGAGTTGGAGTGTGGCTTCAGATTCCTTTGATCTTTTTCAGACTTTTTTTTTTAAATCTTGTGGGATCACTGGCTCTTATCTGTCATCTTAGTAAGCCTTAGCTGTTTTCTGTGTTCTCTTTAGCTGCAGCATATGTTCCAAGTCAGATTTACTAAGGAAATTTGAGAAACGGTGAAATATGCAACTCTGGGGCATCTCTGTGGTGCCTTTGTTTTAAATTATTCACAGTAATAATAATGCGTTGAAAGTCCATCTTGTAGCTGACTGGTGTGTCTGAGAAGAACGGCGGTGGTGTAAGTGCGATTCTTGGTCCGATTGAACTAGAATGGCAAACTGTCACAGAGGACAAAACTTCTTCCCAGCCTGCTGGAGCGGTTGAAGAGCGCTGGACTGCACGTGTGCTGTTTGGGGAAGGATAAAGCTTTTTAGGTGTGGATTCATCAACAACTCTGCTGCTCACACCATCTATCTTGCCAGGAGAACAATCCGCCATCGTAGTTCCAGTGTGGTCAGGTTAAAAAACACAAACACAAACCATTGTATAGATAGCAAGTGTTCATTTCTTCACTAACTGCATATTTATAGAGTAGATAGGAACCATTTGTAAGGTAAGTCCTTTAAAGTTCTATAATATTAAAGTAGTGGTTATTGGTCTGATATATGCTGCTCTTGATTCTACACACTAGACAAAAAAGCAGTGCTTTGTGAAATGCAGTGTTTTCTCTTAATGCCACTGGTGATAGGAAGTAGTTCTCTTCAGTTCAGAATCCTGTGCCCTTATTTGCTGCTTGCTAACGTAAGCAATAATCCCCCTCTAATGGTATCTAAGTGTTCTGTATCTCGTACTTTGATTGTCTATCTGGTGACAATGTAAAAATATTAGGCTAATATAAAAGTATTTAATTGTATTTATTAACTGTTGATACTGAGATTGTCTGTGACCTGTGTTTTGTATTTTTATCGTGTATCTTAGTGGTGGAATTTGTATCACAGATCTTTCCAATAAAGAGCTGAAGTATCCCTCTCTGCATTAACACAACCCGCATCAGTTTCAGTTTACGTATTGAGCGTGTTTGCAGAACCAGGAGGTAGGCAGTGAAAACATTTCTCTTTTAATTGATGCTGGTTTTGAGCAATGGGCTTCAGGCTGCCTGAAGCCGCTCCAAACTCGCTTGTATGCTATTCACTGTGAGTGCCAGAGGGGTTCACTTCATCCCCACTCTGATAAGTCTCCTGTGCACGCTTTTTGAACGTGCAACTCTGAGGAATGTCTGCGTTGCAGAGAGCAGTATAGCACCAGACCAGGGAGCTGTTAACCCATTTCAATTTGCACTAAAGGTGGGTGGAAACGCATGTATATAACTTTTCTTTTACCTAGAAGTGCCATCAATTGTCCTTGCAACTAAAAACCATTCAGCATTTGAGTTAGATTGCGTTATGAACACTGAAGGACAATGTCAAAGCAGACAAACTTACGCCACGTTTATGGTGGCACACTGTCATAGAAACTCCACGCTGTTTTTGGAACACTGTGTGTCAGTGAGAAATGCACTGTCCTATGGGCAGATAAGATGAGGCATAACGAGTTCCGTGCTTAGAGATATGACTGCTGTAGTTCAGCCCCACTCTCTCTTCACTAAATCTTCCCTACCCTGGCACTGGTCTGCAGGAAAAAATATAAGAAAGATTGGTCTAAATTAGGGGCTATTTTAGCACAATTTATTCACTCAGCACTAGTCCCATAAACAAAGCCATTAAAGGGGATACCCCAGCTTTGTTCATGCCTGTAATTTAGGGCAATCTTTCTTTAATCCATACCTTCTTTACAACAGGAACAAAAACGTTCTACCCTCGTACTGTGCAATAAGTAAGAATGAAGCACCAACACAACCTCCAACTGTACATACTCTTTCCAGTCCCTGATGATCAGGCAGTCGCACTATAATACTCGCCAGCATTAAAGCTAAAGAAAAATATGAATCCCACCTCTTAGGGCCTAGTACAACTATTGTACGTCGCAACTGCATCTTGTCAGTGGTTCTTTTGGGTTTTGTTTTGTTCTCTCCCTCTCCTTCACTCCAGCAGAGATCCTGAAATGGGAACAGGGGAAGCTGGCTGAGCCCACCCTGAGCACCTCCACTTGTAGATGGCCAGGCGTGGGGCAGCTGCAGCACTGGGTGCTCCTGTCCACCCACCTGTAGTACCTGTTTGTGAAACTAACATGTTCTTTGTGCTGTGAATAAGTTAAAGCTCATCATTTAGCAATGTTGGGACTTTCCCTCTGCGATTCTGTTCTACAGTTCACATGAGTTTATAGTTATAACCATGTATTAGTCATCCATATTTTATTTATGAAGCTGTTTATACAAAAACTGTTGAAGTTTTACCAGTATCTTAATAAAACAGTAATTTAAACCACGCTCCAGCTCGTCTGTTTCTTTAAAAGCTAATAAAGACTTCATCCAGATGGTGGTTGCTGTCCTCATTTGGTGGAAGATTTTCTTTGTGCTATATAAAGAAATTCTACATACAGAAGAAAACATAACTCACAGAATCACACAGTAGGGGTTGGAAGGGACCTCCAGAGATCATCGAGTCCAACCCCAACTCATTGCTGGGCTACCAGGTGTGGCTACTGGGAGAAAAGCTGCCCATTACAGCTCTCGGGGGTCTGTTCTACAGCCATGTGCTGTTACAGCACAGGCACTTTCAGGACCAGCTCCAGAATCAGTCGCTTCACTAAGGCTTTGGAACCCGTTTCCGTGCCTCTGGGATAAAACCCAGCAGCACACAAGTTCTTCGTGAGGTCAGCAAGGCACCAGAGCACTGCTTCCTCCTGTCCCTGCAGATGCTGGGCACCAACTCCAGATCACGTGGCCAATTCAAATAATTTCCTTCAGCTTGGGCCCTCAGTAAGAGTAAAGCATCCACGAGTGCTGAAGAGGCAGAGCTCAGCAATCACAGCTAATTGAGCTGTATGTGATAATCAGCATGCCACTCTGTGCTCGTGGCGTGCAGCTCAATGCAGGCCCAGAACTCAGCAGCAGGAACAAGGGGTGCATAACTCACAGCAAAGCTGCAGCTCCTTCCTTCAGCTAAGCAGCAGAAAGACTCACTGCAGTAAGAGCAAGCATGGGGCTTCTTAAGGAAGCAAGGAGGTTCTACGTGAATGCACAGCTTCAGAATTCTCTATGGACATTCATCAAATAATTGAAGAAAAAAAAAGAAGTCAGCACCACCACAGAAGAAAGTTCTGCACTCAGCCAGGCATCACCACCATTCACTGCTGAAGAACCAGTCAGTTAACAGGGGGTAACAGGGCGCTGCTGCTCCCAACAGATGGTCTCTGTTACTTTCCATATTTACACACAAACACCTCAAACTTTGCATCAGATTTTAACATTCATTTTATTAACAAAGTGCAAACAGTTTTAAACTATGAGTTGTACAGCACTTGCACTGTGGGACATTCATATAAAAACAAACACCAGTAGTCAGATGAGACGAGGACAACTATCAGACACAGTTATTCATGCTTTTCCACTAACCAGTTACTCAGCTTTCATCATAGCTTCACAAGTAGTTTAGCAGCTCAAAAGGCAATGCACAGCGGCAGAAAGTTTGGCAATGAGTTCAGGTTGGTCCACATCACAGACTGAGGAAAACAACTTCTGTGCCCACTACTTCAGGCTGCCTCCATCCGCTGCAGTGCAGGGAGGCAGCAGTCTCACACCATCCATTCCTTTACAGCAAGGATGTTCAGACATCAGCTGTTATTCCAGTGACAACAGAACACATCCTGGAACAGGGCTCCAGCACCTTCTGGACATCTTTACAGAGCAGCTGGAGCTGGCAGAGCCAGCAGGAATGCAGCCTTTACAATGAGGCCTTCGAAGGCCATTCTGCCCCAGTAACAGACTTAAGATGACTGCAGATGAACCACACAATGGTACGACAGAATGCAGTGCACACACAGCCATGAACAACAGCCTTGGATTAAGCTCCAGTGAATAAATGTATGTCTTCCCAGGACGTGACCCAGCGAGTCTTCAGGCCCCAGCGCCGTCCTCTATCTGGTGCAGAGAAAGCCAGCTTTCAGTGACGCCCTCATTCCAGGGCACTAAGGCTTCAACAGACACAGCCTGACAATCCAAAAATCCTACACTACATTCCAAAACCCAACAGGAGCTCCCTCCTGGCAGTTACATAAGCATGCTCAACTCAGCTGCTCCCTCCTCAGCACCACCTCATTTCTGAGGACTGCCTTAAAAACGCAGATGCTGAACAGCCAGAAGGAGGCAGGTCAGCTACACTGTCATCCCCCTGTGGCAGGCTGTGCAAACACCCATCTGTCTACTGCAAATAAAAGAGGAACGTTTCCTTTATTCTCTGCAGCTCCAGGAGCAGCAGGGAAAGGTGCATCCCAGGGCTACAGCCACGCCAGAAGCCAGCGAAGGCAAACAGTTAGAAATACCTGGTGGTGTCTTCTCCATTAACAAAGCTGCGGTCATCAGAACCCATTTGATCACCTCCTGGGAACACTGAGCACCGCTCTGAAGCTGAAAACAAACCAACCAACATTTGTTACCTTCATCAGGTGAGCAATTGCAACAGAGCAAGTTCACTTTCCCTCAGCTGCAAGCACTGCTGTACTGTACTTAATCACCAACACAGCTGTACCCAATGCCTTTGGCACCACATTAGGACTGCCATGGGGCTTTAATTTAAAGGTCGCTTCAGTCAAACACAGATATGAGTGGTGCTTTGATTATTCTGATGAGTTGTCAAGCTTTAGTGCCTGCTGCAGACATACAACAAAGCAGTAAACCAATTACTTAAATGAGCCGTTAGGTCACCTGCTAATGCTGTGCGAGATGCTTACTCAAGCCAAAACCCAGCTTCATCCAGCATCAGATGTCACCTTACAGCTTGCAATTTCATCAGAAGGTTAAAGCTTTTCAGAGAAACATCAGTGCCGTTTCAAAAACTCATCTCAGGTTCTCAAAGCACACTCCTGCCAATTAAGATGCAAATTCATGCCTAAGACAGCGGTTACGTCCCTGAAGTTGCAGCCTACTTAGTATCAGTGCTGGTACACAGGGAGTTCCAATTCAGAAGGACTAGAGCTATGGGTTTTCCAACACTTCCCCTGGGAGACTCACCTAAGCTGACTTCTCAAGGCTACAAAGAGCTCCCGTCTCCTGTTTTGATCTGTTTTTAATTGGGATCCCAAGAGAGGAGTTCTAAATCTTATTGGCTCTTACTTGTGCTTAATACCTCTAAAGCATCACCAGTAATCTCTGCTGCAGGAGCAGCCTGCATTAACAGGCACACAGAGGCACCTGCAGGAGCACCTGGGAAGGTTTCTCACACAACCCATTTACCTTCACTTGAGGACTGCACAGAGAAGGCATGGTTAAACCCCTCCGACGTGGAGGTGGCATCCTCCTGCTCCTCGTTTTCTGTGTCACATTCAATGTCACTGTCACTGCTCATGCCTGGCAGGAGATGAAGGACGTGCTTCTGACATGACCCACCTGCCAAAGAAACAAAACAAATCAAACAAAAGCAAAAACAACAGTGGTAAATCTCATAGCTAAAGCATTTGATTTTCTCACATGCAAGAGTTATCAGAGACCAAGAAAAAGCAGGTTCCAAACTGACTGTGTTTACTAGAGCACTAATGAAATCGACAGAACAGCAGGGAACAGCTTTGGAACCAGCCTAGCTTTGCTGTGCAGTGTAACTTAAGAGGAGCAGTTCCAACATGCCACCAGCTGAGAGCAGACTCAGGTTCCTTCCTGTCTGAGCTGCATTCCCTGCCAGCTGCTCTGCCTACAAGTAGGACAGAATATGAAGGTGGCTTTTTCAACCATCTACTCAGCTCTACCAACCTGCTGCTCAAGCAGCAATACTCTGTTACGTGTCCTTCCTACACAAGGGAACCACAGCTCTCAAAGTCAAGGTGGTTTGTTTTATTTTGCCAGAACATGGGAGCACAATGGAACCAAAGACCTCCACCTCCCTTTCAAACAATTTTAGGGGTGACCAAAGGAGTACATTCTGCTCTTCTACTTCTCCAGAGTTGACACTCTTTGCAGAGAGAAAGCAAGCAGTGAAGTGAGATGCCAACTTTACTGCAGTTTTCCCTCTGAAAGGAAAAAAAGTAATATTTGTTTCCTGGTGTTTTTAACAATGAAGTATTTTAGTTTTTAAAACATTTTCCTGTTTAGACTCTCTGCTATAACAGGAGAACTGCAGGAGCACATCATGATCACGCTGCAGTGACTAAGAGCAGAAATTCAGTTTTGTCACTGAGAGACCTTCTGTAAATGCCAACTCCCACACAATATTGCACACTGCAGATAGAGATGGATGCTGGCACCTTAATATAGGCTTTGTGCTACAATTCAGTCATTGAAATTCAAATTAGTGCAGGGGTGGAAGGCAGGAGAGTTTTAGCAAGATAAGAAAAAACTCTTCTACGTGGACTTTCAAAAAGAATGCCAATAATACTTTTTTCCAGCATGGAAAGGATGCAGGAAGGGAGGGGGGGAAAGTTTCCTCCAAGTCTCTAAGGAAACTGGCTTATGTACCACAACACCCAGCACAAATGGACTGCTGAAGGAGGGTTCTAGTGCAAGTGTGGAGGTAGTTACCACTGTGGTGCATCCCTGAAAGCAGAAGACTTAAAAGCCAAGGTCACTGATTGCTGGTTTAACTAGATAAGTTATTTTCAAGGTCACAATAACAACCAGCACAGCAAAAGACCCTGAGGCACAGCAAGAGGTAAAAAAAGCAAGTCCAGAGAAACAGAAGGCACTGTGTCACATTACCTGCTAGGTCCCTGCATTCATGCTGTACCATAATATCACTGCTCATAGACAGCAGTGGCACACAGGTGCTCCCCCCCCATTTAGCTTTATATTGCAGCTGCTAAACGTTACAGCAAAGTTCAGCAGCCACAGAAACAGCTGTTGTTTTCTCATCCTTTCCCCTTCAAGCTACTTCCATTACAGAAACAAATCACCGTAGACTGGAAGCATTGTAACACCGCTTTCTTCCTTTGTAACATCCAAGTTACCTTCCTCTGGTCCTGCTGAAGCTCCCTCAGGAAGCACAGCCTGCAGCTCTCCAGTTTCAGAGCTGCCTTCCAAACCACCCGACTGCGTCCCCTCAGTGCGATATCCTTTGGAATTTGATCTGAAAATTTAAGAGAGATACAGAAATCAATAATAATTCAACAATTCAAACAATAATTCATTAAGCCACATCCACTTCCAGCTTTGGCTAATTTAAAAGTACTTAAAATCTAAAAAAAATCCTTCAAAGTTTATGGTGAATATATATTAAAAAAGTGATTTTTTGTTATTTAGAAAAAAATTAAGTACTCCATTGCACTCAGCTTAGTTACACAA